CCACCACACAGAAGAAGAAGAGTGAAGAGGGTTTTGAGACTTTACCATCCAGCAAAGACGATCCAATTGTAGAGAGTGAGGTACACGCGCCTTACGACAGAGAGAAATCCCGCCATGGAAACTGGAGATAGCGACTTCAGCTAGAAAGATTCCAGCAAGAGAGTCAGATTTAATGGCGGAGAGATCGGAAAGTTGAAGCATTTATGATATAATGAATAGAGAGAGAGACAGGTGAGCTACTACTCAACCGTCATCTTTCGATATTTATGATTTAACCCCATACTTTCACCAAACTATCTCGAAACCACCCAAACATTAATTATATAACATTAACAACCCCCAACTTCCTGAATTGTGATCACTAAAAATCAATTAATTTTCAATCGTGTGTTACATCAAAGAGTGTTAAAAAATGTATCTCACTGCTCGCTCGTAGCACCTGAGCTTGGTTGAGATTGTACATCTTTCTGTTCTTTATCAGCCACCAATGGTCCGTTTCCACCGGATCTACGAGCACCGGTGAGTTCTTTACCATCTGTTTCCGTGGACGAAGAAGAAGAATGTATCTCTTCCTCAATTGGAAGTGTTCTCTTTGAGCCCTCTAGTGCAACACCCAGTACTATATTCTCTTCCAAAGCTGATCTAGATATGGATGATGTCGAACCATCTGTTTCGTTCTGCGTATCGTTCTTTGTTGACTTTACTGTGGTACCACTTCTCTTGGCTTTTGGTTTCTCAGCTCCTGATGTTTCTGCTGTATCCTTTGCGGTGGTAGCCGGTTTAGAGACCGCTTTGGTGGTTCCTGGCTTTACTCCTGTTTCATCAGGTACCTTGTTGGTGTCAGGAACCGGTGATTCTCCAACTTTCACGGTCGCCTTTGGGTCTGGGGAAGACGTTTCTTTGGACTTTGGACTTGGAACCTTGTTTTCTAGCTCTGCGGTGGTAGCCAGTTTGGTTCCTGGCTTTACTCTTGTTTCATCAGGTACCTTGTTGGAATCAGAAACTGGTGATTCTCCAACTTTCACGGTCACCTTTGGGTCTGGAGAAGATGTTTCTTTCGACTTTGGACTCGGAACCTTTTTTTCTTCCTCTGCGGTTTGTTTTGATGCACGGTTTTGAGATTTCGATTTGTCTTCTCCATTGATTTTGTAAGCGGGTTCGATTAGCATCAAAGGACGCCGAGAAGCAACACCTCCAGGGCCGTACATTGATGTTCCAAATGGTGCGTTTTCCATGTCGGCGTCTGTGTACATCTTTCGGATTGTACGGATTGGTGTAGCTAGACGTGCTCGGTGATGGCTTATGACTCTAAGAAGGTCCAACAATATAGCTTCCTGTTCGCCAAGAATGTAAAAACTTAGGCCAATCCAGGAAAAAGACTGCAATTAGGTAGATGATAAGATGAAAGACTTCAACTTACCTTTACACATAAGTATTCTTCGAAATGGGACGTCTTCACAAAACACGAGATTAATATCTGTAATAATGACAATCAGATGTAAGAACCAGACAATCCAATGCTTCCTGAAATATCTGATCTTCACTTTAAGATGGGTGCAAAAGAAGAAATATGTATTGAAGTCTAACCCTGAGTGCCTGATTTTCTGGATCGACATTCTCCAAGAATACCCTTCTATGTAACCTCTGCTGCTCAACTTGAGGATTCTTGGCCAATACTTTCCGCATGTCAGCTACAATATTCTGTTTAGAGAAGTTCAGAACAAGGATCAGCTAATAAAACTCGATGATTGGTACTTACCTTAGTTAACAACCATATGGGAATTAGGAAACGCACATTTATTTTGTTGACATCCAAGTGACTGATTGCTAGATGAGTTTTGATACGCCAATGAGTTTTCTGAGTAAGATTTCTTACGACATTGACTGTGAACTTATGGTTTGGGATGTGGATTGCCTCGCGGTCTTCACCTCTTATGATTGTTGGTGACCACCAACCAACATGCTGTGAAAGCATTGCAACAACCATTCGAGAAAGTTAGCTGGCTCATCTTGAGGAAATGTTTAGGTAAAGGACTGACGTGCATGGAAGCTAGGAAAGATTCACAATATCTAAGCTCAAAGATACTAACCTCCACAGTACCAGAAACTTCATAACCTTCAATCTTGGTTTGAATCCACTCGTTCAGAACAAATGGCCGGGTTGCGTGAATCATAACACTTGAGAGAAAGTTTGTCAAAATCTGGAATAGCAAAAAGTCAGTTCTAAGGAAATATCTTTTCATAAGAAAGGAAAAAACAACAATTAAGGAAATATTGAATATTCCGAAGAAACTAGTAATCAAAACGTGATTCAGGTTTCACCTCTCGGCCAGCAAGAGTAATCAAAACTGTCCCAAGACCTCCAGCAGTGAGCCATTTTTGTGTAGAGAAACCCAGCAACTCCATGAAAAGTGAAACCGCAGCAACCCACACAGCAGAATACACTGCTTTCCCAGCAAACTGAAATCCCATCTGTCCCAGTACAAGGAAAAATGGGCAAAACAAATTGAGAAACCATTTAGATTTCTGATCTTGCAAACAGACACTTGGAGTAACACAAGACATGTAAGATAGGCCAAACATCCTAAGTTAATTAAACATTTTTTTAAGAGTGTTACATTACATACATTTCTTGAATCGTTTGGGTCACTTGTTTCAGAGAAGAGCTTCTGTGTTTGTTGGATAAGACTGCATGGGAACAGCTAACCAGAATCAGAAGTCATGAGATGACCACATAACAATCTTCAAAAAGAAATGACAGCACGCTTACCTTGATAAACAGTAGGCAAATGCAAGTACTGTTGACAATGACCTCACAAAATTCAAAAGCCGATCCTTTACAATTTTGCTAGCTTCAGTAGGAAGAACAACAGGATCTAATGCCCTATATAAGAAATGGTCACCAGAAATAAACCTTCTATCAATTATCTCAACAAAGCACTTCAAATAAGTATAACATCAAAATATCTCAACAATGAACCTCAGAGAGTCCCAAGGAACTACTTGATAGATATACCTGCATACGAATAGAGCTCCTAACCATAACAGCAGGGGTTGAACATACGAAGTCATAACATAGTATGTACCGCTCTTTTTCCAACCGTTATCATTCTTCTACAGTGTTTTAACGGCAAAGTTTCAGAATATCATATACAAGTAGCACCATTAATTTGAACTGATGCAGCATAGAACAGAAAGCATTAAGCAAAAAAAGTACAAATAAACTTGAAATGGCTAAACCTACATTAAGTAATAGGTTTCTTCCTTGGCGAACAACAGGAACTAAACCCCACAGGGAGAAAACAAGAAGAGCAACAGCTGGAGCCAACTTATATACAAGAGGGAATTTTTGTATTAATCCGTATGACCTGCAAACCACAGAGTCCAAATATTACGGACTGCATTACAAAGGAACAAGAAAAAATACCAAAAAACATAAATGCCGCCCTCATAATTCCCCTTACAAAAAAATTACAACTTTTTTTAAGGGGAATAATGGCAACGAGAAGGCATGCACAGATCAGTAGTTCGGCTACTTCCACAATTTATTTGAGTTGAATAAATTCATTTATTGTGATTCAGATGTCTTGTGATTAGTATGCAATCCTCCAGATCCACAGAGATCAACTAAACGGAATTTTAATTGTTTCTCAATTTCCCAAAGTGGTCATTCTGCATGTGAAGATAGGAAACAAGAGGTCTTACTTTGTTAGTACCACAGTGGCAGCTTTAATAGCAGGTTCAATTGCCTTGCCTCCTGCAGAAAAAGAATGACACCTAAAAGCGGTGGTTCTGTATGGTACTGAACAAATAGGCCTACGAAGGTAATCTGAGAGTATAATATTCTTGAAATCATGTCGCCCCAACTGTATACACAAGAATAATATGTTACTACATTTCGGCAAACCAAGTTGAATGACTAAAGTAAGCTATCTTAAAATTATTACCGAAACACTAAGTGAGAGGGGATCCTTTGATATATGCAACCTCCTTCTCATGACACTCTATAAAAATAAGCACATATTTAGAAAGACGACGGAGGAAAATGAATTAAAAGAAAACGATTCCAGGGCTAAAATGGAACAAAACATACATTTTCTGGCTTATAGCACCCTTGGTTTCTGCAAATACCCAGGGCATGGGACAACTGCAATGAACCATAAAGGGCCATATTTCGAGCAGAGTCAATGTGTTAGCCAGCGATGTTAGTAGCACCGATCATAAGCCTCACAGCCTAACGGACCGATACTAACGAATGCCAACACGAACCCTGCACTATAGAAATGAAGCAAAAAGTCTCAAGAATCACAATTCTAAAATCTCAACTCTCTCTTTAACAAAATGCGAGAATAGTTTTAAGTAATTGTTAAGTATGGTCCTTATAACACTTAAACAATGAACTAGAGCCTATATAAATAAAACACACAAATAACTTAATTCCGTGAATACCTATTCTTTACCAGAAACCTAAAGTTCACAACTTGTATAAAAATCTGGACTACAATCCCAACTAAATACCTAAATTTAGCTTAATATCATCTCGAGGAAACATCCAATATCATAAATTACAGACCTAGATTCCTCTGAAACAACACCAAACCAACGTAGCAATCACTGACAAGAGCGTAACAAAAGGAATGAAATTGGTCGATCAATCCAAATTTCTAAGAGAAAAAAAGCTGAATTTCAATAAAAAAAAATGGGTAATACAAGTCTAATCGATGCACACTTATACAGAGCCGAAGATTAAGTAAAAGCAGCGAAAACTTTACTAGAAGACGAAAAACGAATTCAAAAGCGGAGTTAAAAGAATTGATTAAGAAACATGAACATAGAGATAGACAAAAAACCTTACCCCAAAGAATCAAAAATCGAGGGAAGAAGCAAAATTTAAGGGTTTCAAGCTTCTTCAAGGAAGGAGCTTTCTTCGACGAAAAGGGGGGATTCGGAATTCGCAGACGAAAATACGGTGCCGTTTTCGTAATGGGCAACGTTCTGGGTAAAGTGGTGAACATTTTGACACGTCATACCCGTGCGGCGAATAGATTCGTATAATAGAAATGATTTTCCACTTTTGCTAAGACACCCAAAAAATCACTTTTGTGAATTTAATTTTTAATCTTGCATTAACTAACGTTTATACTTTATGATTATGAGACATTTTGTTAAGGATCAACTATTTAAAATGTATATACAGACGTGTAATTTATTTGAATGGGTGTTTTCGTTGGTTTCATTTTAGAATATGCAAAGGAACAAACTGAGAGGAAGTAAACAAAAAAAAAATACATATAATGGGTCTTTGATAAATCAAATAATCTAAAG